TAAGTAGCACATTTTGTGAGGAACTTTTCCCAACAAAAGGTGCTAATCTTACTGTGTCTGTGTATGTCGGCTTATGCTTGTCCTTATACGATAGTGAAAAAAACCAGCCCCTAAACTCAACAATCAACCAGTACATTTAATGCTTTGTCGGAAAGAAATTGAAATCAAGCTTAACTGATTTCTGTGCTCAGATCTGATTGGAATTCAGAGAACTGTTAGTTGTCGACCAAACCGTCCGCCAGTTTCGGATAAGCAGTACTTTAGACTTCGTTTAGGTTTACCGGTTTGACCAGATTTTAACCAGATTTGTCATATTCCAGTTAGACCAGTTTCGGTTTAAACTAGTTTGATCGGTTTTGAATCTCCGATGTTACGATTTTTGGACCGTTTTTGAATTAAAGTGGGTTTTTCTTTTGGATTTTTTTTGCAACGTTTATCCGAAGGACGTATTAAGGAAGGCGAATAACAGAACCATTTTTCAATAGTTTAGCACTTTTTTTTTATTTGAGGCTTGTACAAGGGTAACAAGGGTAATTTTACCCTAACACATTGCTTCAAGTTTCGGCGACGCTGACAAATCAGATTACGGCGAACGGTTTTCATTGCGCTAGTCACTAAGCAACAAGAGGTACGTGCACCCTTAAAACATCACCCTTAAGACAACATTCCAAAACTTGCGAGTTCTCGCGCCATTTTCCTTTTTACTTTCTTTGATTTGGTTGTAAGTGAGAAACGCGCCGAATTGTGATCTTGCTCTTACTTTGTAAATCCTAACCCGTAGGGAGCAAGAAAAATTGGCCACGCCCACAGAATCAGGTCCCACTAGGACCTCTCATGACACCATTCCTCTGTTCACTGATTGGCTGAAAAGCTGGAAGCATTGCGAGGCTAAGAAGTTCGAAAATGGCGTGCCTTGGACAGACGAGCAGTTTAGACTTGTTCAAGATCCCACGGCTTATTCTGCCTTTTGTAAATCGGACATCTTTGGCTCGTGGGAACCCGCTGACCGGGTTTACACTGGAAGCCAGCATAAAAACTTACGTGCAAACCGTATTACAAACGAGGAAAGCCAGGAAAAATACGCGCAACTCTTTAAGAGTCTTATGACCAGTGAACGAGAGGAGGAGTTCAATAACACGGCCACGCCCAAAGTCACAAGCTTCCCAGCCACGTGCGAGCACGTGGCTGACGCTGATAATGGACCAGCGCCCTGTTTCGACAGAACACACTCTCGCGGAATTCAAACAGAGAAGATCTTTGGAGATCCTCTCCGAAAGGACAATGATTTGAGGTACATCAAGTACTCGGCGAATTGTGCCGATCAGAACTCATTTCACAGCTCGTATGAAACGTTGCTGACAATTTTGGCGGATCGCATTGAGATGAATCCAATGGACTTACATACTGCAGTCAACAAACTTGAGAACGCTTTACTTTTTGGGCACAGTCTTAAAGGAGTCTTCTAATATATAATTACTTTATATAGAACAGGTTTTCACAGAGCCGGGTCTTTTGATGATAACAGTCCCTGGTTGCTACACGCACAATTTTTCAAAATTCCCTGACTTTTCCTGATAAAAGTAAAATTTCCCTGACCAAATACACACAAAATGTCAAACAGTGAGATATAATAGCGGCTTCTAGCCTCATTTCACAGCCGTCCTTTCCACTTTTTCATTAAGACTGATAAGTTTTCAACAAATTTTCCTTCTTCATCAAGTAAAAATATCATTGAGATTACAGTGACCCCAAATGTTTCTTCCAACCTTCAATGATATTAAATCGGCCGTGTTAAATTATTTCAATTTTCCCGACTTTTCCCTGACCTTGAAGAATTTTTTTCCCTGACCATTTTCTGACCTGTGGCAATCCTGACAGTGAACTGGCAGCCCCTAAACCTTGCCTCATTCTTTAGTCGTGGGCAAGGTTGGTGGTTCGTTTCCTACGGTTAGTAAAAAAGCCAGTCATTAGAGTGTAAACTCAACGGGAATTAGAGAACACAAGAAGTGTTTCTTTTACGAAACGCCTGCCTGAGCGCGTTCTTAAATTTTTCAAGTGTTCTTTTTAAAACCGGAGTGTCTTCCGGCAATCTAATGCCTGGATTTGACTTTTTTGTAATGACGCTCATACAACGATTTATCGCACACGAAACGTTAAAGCACGGTTTTGTTTGTCTTATCTCCTCTGATAACACATTTAATGTACGCAGAATCTAATCCGTAGTACAACAGCGCATAGAAATCAAGTAATAATAAACACACATTCTTTCAAACATAGATAGTTTATTCAGAAACTATTCACAGTTAAAATATACTACATGTTATAATTACTGTATATACATTGTAGAGATTTGCATGTCTTTGTGCCTGACTTTCTGAAAAGCTCCTTGGAAATAAAGGATTCTCTAACAATGAAAGAAAGCGATCTATTCCACTTTATTCTTGTATACTTTTAACTAAACTTGCTCAGTAAATCCAATGAATTGGCCCGTAATAAAACAAATTTGGCGAATTCATGAAAGGTATCTATTATTGATCTAATAAACGGTTTATTAGATCAATAATAGATCAGTTTCATAATTTGCAGATATTGTATAATAGTTTGTAATAACTTAACGACCATTTTATTAGAGTAATCTCTATTCACAGCTGTTATATATGGTCTGACTTTAGTGTGCAAAAATCTAAATTGCACTGTTAACTTTTAATGGCTCAGAAGCCGGTCAGTCAGCTATGTAATTAAGATAATATTAATTATCCTTCAACTCAGTTCATTGCCTAAATAACGGATGTGTTTCACGAGTGATGATAGAAGTTTATTCTGTCATGGCGAACCATGGATGCTGCAGAGTTTGTTTCAGAGTTGGACGATTGCTTGGAGTCGCGTTCAGCAGCGAGTAAATAAGGTTCTTTGCCTCTGTTGAAAAGAAATAAAAAGATAAATATCAAGAGGTAAACATGGGATTACAGAGCTGAAATTACCCGCTACAGAATCAATATAGAAGGTAAAACTTTATAATAAGAGAGACAATGAAAGTGTTTCTACTTGACAAATCAAGTACAGATTAAGAAGGAAATACCTGGTGAAAGCTGGTGTGGTACTCTAGGTGCCATGCGCAGAGCGTGGCGTGGATGTTTAAATGCTGGGACTACAGGTGACAACATATCCACAAGAAGGATTCCCATTTGCCACACAGTGCCCTGACAGCCGTCATATTGCTTGGATTTATTGAATTCAGGAGGCATGTACTGTGGTGTGCCTGAATGCAAACATCACTATCACATAAGCTGCCAGGTTTTATTTTACTTGCAAATGTCGCACACAAGACACTCCAGCATTATTCTCACCTCTGAATTTTGTGAAAGGTTCTTCTTGAACTTCAGATGCCAGTCCAAAGTCAATCAACTTGGTTTCATCAGCGCGCATGTCCACCAGGATGTTCTCTGGTTTGCTGTCTCGGTGTAGGACACCAGTCTCCTCGCAGTTGATGTTGGCCTGCAGGATCTGGGCAAAGTATCGTCGGGCTTCTCTCTCTGTCAGTGGTCGCCCCAGACTGTCTCGGTCATGTATGATGTCAAACAGGTTTTTACAGACTTCCGGTCTTTCCATGACGTAAACATAATGCTCACCAGTGTCGACCACTTCATATATGTCGATCACGTGACGGTGCCTTGCTTGGCGCTGAAGATAAGCCTCGGATGGAATTTCTCCACCGTTTATCTATAACAGGGGTGGGGAGGGGGTTAGTTTTTTTTTTTATGCCCCATTTTTCGAAATCTTCAACTGGTTTTCGCAAGTATCACAACATGTTAAAATCTTTTTCGACTTACTAACCATACTGCTTCTTTACCCTTATATTACAACTGTCTTGAAACTATGAGCCACACTCTTTTTCATTGATAACCCAATTTTACATTTACCAACCTTTTTAAATTCCTTGACTGAGCTTTTCTGCACAAATTTAAGCGCCACCTGAGAGGAAATATCAACTCTATTAGTTTTGTTCCTTTAATTCTACATATATATTAGAAAACAATGCTATATTTTGGAATTTATCAACTGCTGTTACTGGTAGACAAGATCTAGACTAAATCTGGAACCTCGTGGTGTTTTACTGGCATGAGGCAAATACCAGTGGGAGTCCAGGATAAAACAAGACCTTATATTTATCAGTCTTGCCCGAATATCTCTTCCCACAAAAATACTACATGATTTAATAAAGAAATGCAGAAGACTGTTGAGCTCAACTTACCGGCAGATTGTCCTCTTTGCGTGTTGCAGCGACGACTTGACCGAATGAACCAGCTCCAAGGACTTTTCCTATGTCATAATCAGCAAGCTCAGCTACAATTCCAAAACAATGAAAGTCACAGCCATAAAAAACATATTGAAATCTAGGCTTAATTCTCGAAGTTCAAATAAAGTTGTTGTTTGTGTTGTTTGTTTGTTGTTGTTGTTGTTGTTGTTGTTGTTGTTGAAACTTACCTTGAGAAGCTAGTTTCTTGATAAGTTCTGGCACTTCAGAAAGTTTCTCTTGATCGTCTTCATAAATGGAATCCCAAGATGACAAGCTGTCGGCTGACAGTGTAAATTTCATCTCGGCGTCTACCCAGTCGGGTTTCTGAAGAACCAGAAATAACGCAGAATTATTATTAGTACGGCTAGAACAAAATAGTTCTCAATGTTTATTTTCTTGTGATTGGGTTAGTTAGAAAGTCTACGGTGCAGTGGTTCAATTTTATACCCAAAAAGCTGTATAAACTGAAGTGGATGTAAATTAGTAGTGTAGGAAGCTCATAGGGGACCTTCCATTACACTGCTCTTAAAATTGTGAGAAATAATGAAGTAAAAATAAGAGGGTTTGTATGGGAGTCCAATATCCAGAATGGTGGTGGTCGACGAATTTGTCCAGTCCCCTCTCGGTCAATGACGGTGAACCAATCAGCGTGCGGGATGAGTGGTGACGTCATAGGTAGGACCGAGAAAGAGGGAGGAGACCAAGATTTACATGTTTTTTTTTTAATGGTTTTATCACCAAAAATCCTTAGCTTTTTACAACGTGGGAGGCTGGACTTGAAAAACTATGCGTAATAAAAATGCCTGAGTCACATAAAATATGTCACCTAGTTTCAACAACTCACTTCATGGTTAGAATCGTCATAGCAGACTACTGTGGTGACGTCACGAGGGGGTAGCCCCTCTTGGCTGAGGTCATGGGATACCCCTCCCACCCAGAGAGCTGGGGAGCTAGGATACAAAAAAGAGTTTCACGAACCATGTTTTAAATGTTTCAAAAAATCCTGGGTTTTTTACAAAGTGGAATCGTGATTATCGATTAAAACCATTTTCCACAACAAGGGTGCCAGGGACGTTGCTGGACTTGAAAAAACTATGCGTAACAAAACAGAGAAAATACGCTAATCCTGACTATTCTCTGACTCATCAACAATTCTCCGCAAATCTTTAGTTCAAAGTAGGAAGATGCCCAAGTCACTCGCGCCCGTTCCGACAGGTTTTGACAGGTACTCATCAAATAACGTCGTCAATCAAAAACGCCGCCCGTTTTGCATTTGAATGGTTTGATTTGCATAATGACCCAAAACGGGGATCGGGGGATAACCCCTCATTTTTGGTGACGTCACGAATGGGTCACACTCAGGAATCACGCAGCAACTGATTGATTCGTAAAATTCACAGTGTATTTCTTATTTTGCTTTCTGAAACAACCACGGAACATGATAAGAATTATGTTGATATTTCACCAAGTGTAACCTCAAGTTCGCTGCGAACTAGACTCGTTTCCACTTGCACTTCCTCAGATCCTTGGTCCCAGACCCCAAAACGCGTGATATTCTGTCCTATTTCTGTTTGTTTTTGCCACGAAGTCTTTGTCTGATCCGTTCCTTGCTCTTGGCATAATAGTCTCCATCTTGTGTGGCGTCTTACAAATAATGAGTAAAACCCTACAATCACCCTCCTTTGTAAGAATCACATGGCTAATTTAGTGTATCACACTGAAGCTTCAACCTCTTCGTCTGCTTCTTTGTCATCATCCGACTCGTCGGGGAGTAACTTCTTCTGCATGATTCTGTTTAACAGGCATTTCCGTTTTGCTACTGCTGACTCCGCCGCTTCGTCAAAATCCATGTCGTCTTTGTCAATAAAGCGAAGAGTTTTCATGACTTTACGGTGTATTGCGTGGTGTTTGATACGGTGAGTGCATTTCAGACGCTCTAAGTAAGTCCTCTGTAGTCTTCATCTACTTGCAGGTAATTGGGTATTGAAAGCGGCATTCCCGGCATAGTCTTGGGTTTTTCCTCTATCCAGGAACTGTTGGACTTCTTTCATGAAGGGTTCTTTGAGATCTTCCCCCTTTTTTCTACGCAACGGATTCCACGGATCGTTGTCTCGTTCATCGTCCTCCACTTCTTCTTCTTCTTCGGAGCTTCTACTATCGTCCTCTTTTTCCTGTCCCTCTTCATGTTCCTCTTTTGCCTCTTTTTCCTTCTCTTCGTCCTTTACGTTTTCTTCATTGCTTCCACCTTCTTCCATGGGGCCAAAAATATCTCTCCCCCTCCGATCCTTTGTTTTCCCTTTCCAGCAACGAGCGCGCCTGGCACCCTTGTTGTTGAAAATAGTTTTAATCAAGAGTCGTGATTCCACTTTGTAAAAAAACAAACAGGATTTTGTGAAACATTAAAAACATGGTTCGTCAATCCCTTTTTGGTATCCCAACTCTCCAGCTTTCTGGGTGGGAGGGGTATCCCACGACATCAGCCAAGAGGGGCTACCCCCTCATGACGTCACCACAGTAGTCCACTATGACGATTCTAACCATGAAGTTAGTTGTTGAAACTAGTCGACATTTTTTATGTGACTCAGGCATTTTTTATTACGCATAGTTTTTCAAGTCCAGCCTCCCACGTTGTAAAAAACTAAGGATTTTTTTGTGATCAAACTATTAAAAACAAACATGTGAATCTTGGTCTCCTCATTGTCTCTCGGTCTGAGGACACCTCCCATCATATATTTCCTCATGATGTCACCCACCCTTCTTCGTTCTACCCATGACGTCACCACCCATCCCGCTCGCTGATTGGCCCATCTCCCTTGACCTAGAGGGGCCTGGACCAATTTGTCGAACACTACCATTTTGAATATTGGACTCCCATACAAACCCTCTTATTTTTACTTCATTATCTCTCACAATGTTAAGAGCAGTGTAAGTGAAGGTCCCCTGTAAGCTTTCTACACTAATTAAATTATTGGCAAAACTGTGTGTAATATAATGGTACGTAAAACCAACGATTTCAGTCAGTTTTGAGCCAGATTAGAAACCACTGACCTCACCTCATAATCAAGAGACAAAAAGCTGTCGTTACTACTGATTTTCTTCAGATTATCTTTGTCAGACTCGCTCCAGATACATCTCAATTTGTTTCTGTAGTAAAACCAAAAGAGGAGCTCATTTAGAAACTTGTTTGGGTATATACAAGTTATTAAATTTTTTTCATTACCTCTGGAATTTAGAAGTGCTTTTCTCCCGTCTCTGGCTAAAGCAACCCTTTGATGAAAAAGAATGAAACGTTAAAATAAGTTACCCTTGTAATAAGACAAAAATTGAAAGAGATTAAATTTATTCTTTTAAAGATATTGTAAAGTGAAATAAAATGCGTCTATTTCTTCGTTTTTTATTTTAAATCTCTTTTCTTATGGAGAGGGGAACTCGAAAACAGAAAGGAGCGAATTAAGAACACACTTTCGCGTTATTCCCCACACAAAAACTGAATCAAAACGATTCTATTTCTATGGAAAAATGTTTCCACAGTATTTTCTTAAGTCTTTACATGATTTAAGTCAAATGAATTCTAACTCACCTCATTTTCCGTTCGCCTTGTTTTCTTCGGCAAAGATGTTTCTGTTTCCATTTTGCGCTTTCTTTTAAGCGCAAGCTTTCCGATAAATTCGCATTATTAATCACACGCTTTTCACCACATGATTCCGTGCTGTTTGATAAGTATTCATCAATCTCAGACATGGTCAATCTCCAGTGATTCAACAACAAG